AGCACTTCAGTCCATTCACAATCGACGGGAAAATATCAAATTCAATTAAAATAAATACGAACTTGTTTCACTGCATCAGTTCTCTTCAACTGTGTAACTCCTGACACAAAATCACGTATAAGTTAAAAAGTAGAGTTTGCTGAACATCCTTCCTTTCTCACAATGAAGTTGCGTTATTGATTAGAAAAAGTATAGACGATATAATCTCAAAAATTTTCTATAGTTGGTTTGTATGGATTAGATTCGTTTATACAAGTTTGTCCATGGATTTATATTGGTTAGAGAATCATTGAAAACCAGTACCGAAGTACTGGACTGACAGCTGTTTCATCCCACTAGTTTTGGAATCATCGGAGGTATGCACCTACTCTCCAGGGTTCGAACCCCTGAAATTCCAGTTACAAGGCTAGTGAGCTCGTATAACATTCAGTCACTGTTTGGACCTTACTCCTCAATGGCCAGTCCATAAATTCTAAATTCTACCTATTCGTGATTTTAGCGCGATTGGCAACAACCAATATCATAGACGGGAACTTCATCCCCACTCTCGACAAGATAGGCCCTACCGGTTACAACTTCCCCCTAGAAATCCAGGCAACTTCGTCATGTAGCCAGTTATTAGTGAGCATCAAAAGTCATGAATTGGTAGAAGTTAGAATTCATGGGCTGACCACTGAATAGTCGGGTCCCATGGTGGCTGAACGGTATACAACCTTGCCTTGTAACCGGAAGGTCATGAGTTCGAAATCTGGTTGTGAGTGAGTACTACCAATGATTCTCGAACTGGTGGGATGAAACAGCTTGCTGTCCAGTACTCTTGTAGTGGTTTTCAATGGTTCTTTGACTGATATCTATCCGTGGTCACCTTGTAAAGGGAGGATTATTTATTTATCATCTAGTTCGACAAAGTGAACACGATGAGTTCAGATTTTTGCAAGTGTTGGTTTGTAGGAATTTGACTGGTTACAGGATTTCATTATGAGTTGACATCAGTTAGACAACCATTGAGAGTATTGGGCAGCTGTTTCGTCCTAGTTTGGGACTCTTCATCGGTACACACTCACAGCCAGGCTTCGAATCCAGGACCAGCCCATCTCCATTTCCTTCAGAATATGTGTTGAACAACAAGTTCTTGATTGGTTTAATCTCAGAGAAGATGGAGGTGGTGAAGATAAACAACCAACCAACCAAACAAACAAACAACAATAGCAAGCAGCAATCAATATCAACAGAATATATATATTTCAATGTGGTCACTTCCTTCATTTACATAGGCACATCTCCATTTTGTCCTGCTAAATGCGGTCGTCTTCAGCTGGCTGCACAACCCCCAATAGGCTCTCGTCTTCTGCCTACACGATCTCTTCTATGTCGCCCTGGGTTACAGGCCTAAATCGTCGTTTCCCATACGGGTTCCACTCCAGCCATGACTTGGTACGAGATGTCATCCAATGTTGTGTGTTCATTCTTGTTGCCAATTCTTTCTGACCAGCGGGACGTCTGATCTTCTGTATGTTGCCTGAGAAGAAAGTAACTGTTGATGAAAGTCTGTAGCAGGCTGTTACAAAGGCCCAAATAGAAGCATTAAGTGACTTAACATCATTGTTGAAAGTCCGAATTTTGTTGTTTATGCTGACTGTATGAGGAAGATTTTCAAACGGATTTCAGAAAGATACTGTGCCACATCTGTGTCTGTCTGTCTGACTGTTTTCGACATAGAACTTTGCACCGATATGCAGCAGTTCAAGTCACCACTCTCCCTTCTTGTAGCACATAAAGCAAGAGAAGAAAGTACAAGAAAAGCATAATAGGGACAGTACACAGAAGTGTGAGACAAAGGGAATAGTTAGTATTAACGAAGAGCAAAACAGTTTCATTGAAAATCATAAGTCACAAGGAGTGGATGCATCTGCGTTAGCCATTGAGAACGATTTTGAGCCATGTCACCAATTGTTTCCAACCATTTGTTTTTACCATCCCGAGGACCCCAACCAGGAAGTCTACACCTTCCTACGTGGCTTAGACTAACTGTTGTAGATTTCATTGACTGGTGCCATGTTTTGGTTTGACCGCCACCAGCTTTTTTCCAGCCTGACCCTATATCCGCTAACATTACTCATCGAGGAAGGCGATGACTAGGCTAGTCATACGGAACACATGTCCTAACCATCTCAGTCGATGCAGCCTAACAGCCTCGTCGATTGATTTCCAATTCCTCCTTACCTAGCACTCGACCGACGCCTAACCTCAATATTGCTCACCTCATTATATCACTTCACACGGGAGATAGAACTCGGGCACCCATGATTGAAGACAGCTAATCTTTTCATGTCTTCCACTCTCAATGGCCACGTCTCACAACCATAAAGGAGGACGGAGCGGACTGATGAGCAGTACACACGCCCTTTGGTCGACTGCCAGCTGGATATCACGTCTACTAATCCAGAGACGGCGTAAACTGGCATATTCGAAACTAGCCCTCTGTACCCGTGCTGAGATTTCGTCAGAGATCAACTCTTTGGCACTGGTTGATGCAACTTCCCAAATAAGTGAAGCGGTCAACGTGTTCTACCACTTCACTACCTATTTCTAATCTAGGAGTCGGTGTAGTCATCTATGTGTATCTATATATTTAGTTGCTCCTGTGGAGAGAGCTATATAGGGCGAACAACTAGACAGCTGAACAAACGCATTAATGAGCATCTTCCTTCATGGTTCAGAAAAGGTCAAATAAAAATCTATAATAAGTTCTATTTTGGCTCATTTGATTGATAGCGGTCACTAAGTGAACAAAAATAGTGCCTACAAAGTTATCTACTGCACTCCATCAAAGAACCTTTCGAGCGGAATTCGAACCTGCCTGTTAAACACAAAGCCAAAGCTATGAGAATTAGTTCGAGAGAACAATCTCCGTGTCGTGGCATACAAAAGAAGTTTGTTCTACCTTCGTGTCTCTCCCTTGCCTGGCCTAGGTGAATTCTATTCAAAACCCTCCCACTCTTTCTTATCATCCATCTCCTTCGTACTTTTATGATATTTATTTAAACTCTGATTATCTGTCCACTTCACCTACCTATAGCGTTACGTAACTTTTAAGATTCGACCTAATTTAATTATTTACTTATTGAATTGTCTACATATACACATATATACATACACCATCTTCGTTATTCTTATGGCCACCTGTATAAACCATATTGTCAATATCTTGTTATCATTATAATCATCGTTATTAACTTCGTTCGAAACATTTACCACATTATCATTATTTGATCCACAAAATCACCGCCATTGGTTAACATTTTTTCTATATAAATCTATGTAAATTAGAGTAAAGCCTGAAGAAGATCTAATTGAAAACAACAGCATTGTTCGCTTATATGCGTCTTGTTCTAATATTAAAAAATAGGAATATTTAAAGATTAGATTTCCGATTCTATTTCGCCTTGATCTCCTGTTCCATGGTATTCCTTGTCGTTGAAATGATGATGCCTGGATAAGTGAAGAAAGTGTAACCCTTTCACATTCCTCCCGTTTAAGAATGACTGGCTGACTGACTGGTTTTAACATAAAACGTTGCACTGATGTATACCAGTTCGAGTCGCCGCACTCCCTCCATGTAGCACACAAAGCAAGAAAGAAGAAAGTAAAAAGAAATCCAAAATAGAAACAGTAAACAGAGTTATGAAGCAAAAAGAACTGTGATATGGAAGAGCTATTTGGTTTCATTGGGTATTATAAATCACAAGGAGTGGATGTATCTGCTCCATTGTGAACGAGGATTTTAAGCCAGCTATATGACCAATTGTTTCCAGGCTTCGTTAGTGTTTACCGTCCCGAGGACCCCAACCAGTCAGGAAATCTATACCTTCCTACGTGACTGGCTGGCTTAAACTAACTGTTGTTGATTTCATTGACTGATGAAGCTATGCTCTGGTCTGATCACTATTGCTTCTTTTCCAGCCTGATCCATCCTATGTTAGCTAACATTGCCCATCAAGGGAGGCGATAGGTAGTCATGTCCCCTAACACATGTCCTAACCATCTCAATCAGTGCAACTTCACAACCTTGTTGATTGACACCTCTCCTTACCTAGTACTCGACTGATGCCTAACCTCAACATCGCCTACCCTATTATATCACCTAACACGGGAGACAGAAAGCAGGCACCTATGATCAGTGACAACTAGCCAGGCTTTTCATGTCTTCCACTCTCAATGACCAGGTTTCACAACCATAAAGGAGCACGCAGTGGACTGCTGAGCAGTATACACGTCCTTTGATTGATAGTCAGCCGGACATCACGTCTACTAAGCCAGAGATGGCGTTAAATGACATATGCGAAACTGGCCTTCCGTATCCATTCTGAGATTTCGTCAACGATAAACCCTTTAAAGCTGATAGAGATTGGTGCTTGTCGCTTTTGGCTGGTTGGTTGGTCGGTTGTTTATCTTCAGGTATTGGTCTATAGGGATTCGGAGAACCAATGGTTCTCTAACCAATGCCAGCTCATGATGAAATCCTGTAACCAATCAACCAAATCCCTACAAACCATTGCTTGGATATCAATGAGATGCTCACCGGCGACTGGCCCTATTCAGGTAGGCAGTTACCTGGGTTCTAGTGGGGTGTAGCAGGTCGGATGTGAGGATAAATACTCGCCGAAGACACTGGCTAGAGGTCGCACTATGTCGTGAATTGGCAGAAGTTAGAATTCATGAGCCATCGCATCGTGTCCCAGTGGCTTGATGGTCTACAAGCTAGCTCGCCTTGTAATCAGAATGTCCTAGGTTCAAACTCTGTCGGTGGCTGCATACTGATGAAGAGTCCCAAACTAGGACGAAATATATGTCCAGCACTCCCAGGTTTTACAATGTTTCTCTAACCAGTGTTAGCTCATAATGAAATCTTGTAACCAGTTATTATTATTATCCCTGGTATTGTTATGTTACTTTGGCTAATAATTGTTCCTAAAATTTCCACTCTCTTATATATTTAGGCATGTCCTGATATGCACAATAGTAGTATATCAAAATTTCTTGGTGCTAAATGGAAATCAATGACTTCTGAAGCTAAACAACCCTATTATGAAGAACAGGCTCGATTGAGTCGTCAACATATGGAAGAACATCCAGCCTATCGGTATAGACCACGTCCAAAACGTACATGTATTGTAGACGGTAGAAAATTACGCATATCTGAATATAAAGAATTAATGCGTTCCCGTGGTGATTCATCCCGGAGACAATGGATTGGTTCAACAGATGAACAGGCACAAAAAATTGTTGAAGATATTTTAGGTAAGCTGTTTTTGTATTGATTTGTTTTTTTTCCCATGTGTAAAATATGTATTTATAACCATTATAGAAGGTTAATCTCTAACCCTGAATAGTTTAACTGTAAGTTTTCTTTGTTCCTTCACGTTCTCGGTGGAACATAGGACTCCAAGTTTTAGCTTTGCCATTTCCGCTGAAGTGGTTTTATTTTCACAGGATAGGGTTGCTAATCTTCTATCCAAGCCGTGCTTTTTGCTAAGCTTACTATGTCGTATACAACGTCTGGGAGTGCGTTGGCTTGAGATGAAAACACTAGATCACTTGCAGTGAAATTTATGAGTAATCTAACATTGCACCACCGACACTGCATCAATAGGTGACATCAATTCTCTGTAGGCTGTGTCCATAGCTTTCTATCGACTGCCTCCTGAGTTGGCTAGAATTTTCGTATGCAACCAGTCTGATGGGCCCTTATCCTACTAAGTTGACGAATATCTTGATTAGAAGACTCCATCGTGAACTGACATCAGTTATAGAACCATTGGAAAACCAGGCAGGGAGTATTGAACAGATGTTTCGTCCCATTGGTTTGGGATTTATCATCAGTACGCACCCACCACCAGGCTTAGAATCCAGGACTTTGTGGTTACAAAGGGAGCTCGTAGACCATCGGACTGTGTCTCAGTGGCTTGATAGTATACAAGGTAGCTCGCTTTGTAATCAGAAGGTAGTGGGTTCGAACACCAGTGATATAGAAATCAACTCTGAAGTTAAGTATCTTGGATTCATTCTTTCTTCTGACCCACCTTTCCTGGTTTTTCTCGTGTCTTAGCGATTTCTAAAAGTATATTTCGTCTGACTTTTTACACAAAGAACTTAAGGCGCTCAGGAATAACCCAATCACTTCTCTTACAGTTTGTCAACTTGTGTATGCATCTTACCTAATCTTCTTTACTCTTCACCCTTATTCTTTCTTTCCTGGGTTGCTTAAAGAAGACTCTGTCATATCTTGTAGAACTCTGAGGACTGCCAGTCAGCTGGACGAGTGGTATCCCATTGGACCATATCGTTGACATCGTCATTGATAATAGGCACTTGATGTCATGCAAAAAATTTGCTAAAGGAATTTTGTCAGACTGTGAGCACCCACCGCAGCACCCGCAGCTCCAGCTCTGTGTCTCCTCAAGTAAAACGAGAAGTCTTTTCAGAAGACTTTATACACGTACGTCTTAGTATAAAAATTCCATTATACCATATTTGGCGGCAAGTATTTTATGTGATGAAAATAGTGTTAGGCATGAACTAACTAACTAACCTTCTTTGCACTACTAAATAAACCATTTCCTTCACCCTTACAACATTAAGCTTTATTTATATTGCATCTTCTTATATTCATAATCCTCTCAATTTTTTGTTTTTATTTATTTTTCATAAGTGTGAACATCGTTTAAGCTGTGTCATATAACTGCTGATTTTGTATTTCTCCTCACCATGCTGCTATATCAACAGAACATTAGATTCAATACTCCATAACATGCCAAAATTTCTAAACTCAATCGACAATACTGTTTGAAACAAACTCACTAATATTATTATTATATTTAGTAATCTCAATTCGTGCTTCGAATATTTTTGACTTTATACCGTAAATGTGGACGAATTTCTCTGGTTAATTTTGTCTTAATTTTATTTATATTTTGAGTAAATCAGATGCAATATTGTGACAAATACTGAGAATTCCAGGCTGTATTATAAATACTGTTTTTGGAATAAAGTAGATTATTATTATTATTATTATTATTATTACTATTAAGTGTGATCATGGATTGATATCGGCAAAAGAACCGACCGTTGAAAACCAAGGAGGAAGTACTGGACACCTGTTTTGTCCTAGCCTGGGACTCATTGGAAGTGTGCACCTTCAGGACTGTGAATCCAGGACCCTCCAGTTACAACACGACCTCGTAGACAATTCAGCCAATGTGACCCACCAGAATCAACGGTCCTTGAATTCTAGCTACTACCAATTTGACATGTTTACCGTGACTGACACCAGCTAATGTCATCTCTGGTGAGTATTTGTCCTCACTCCTGATCAACTTCAGATGAATCTCACTGGTCAGCTGACTTGTCACTAGAACTTCAGGCAGTTGAGTTCTACAGTCGATCACTAGTAAGCGTAAGATTAATTTTCAGAAGTTTGTTTGTGGGGTTCGAACCCTAGTCATGGGTGTTTACTGTCCATGAGTCCTAAGCTAGGTAGAAACAGCTGTCCAATACTCCCTCCCTGGTTTTCAATGATGGATTTCCTAATTGATATCAATCACTCCGTGATAAAACATGAAATCAATCCAATCCCTACAAACAAACTCTTAAAAATCAATATTGTAATTAAATCAATCGGGCAGGATTTTCCAAAGAGTATTTCCGTCGGTCGGTGATTCAATCAGAATTCGTCTTTAAAGAAAAAAAATAACATTTTTTGGCTTTTACCTCAAACCTCGTTGCCGTCAACAATTATACATCTCATCCAACAATTGTACGACAATGCTACGCATGCCAAGTAATCCCCAAAAGGGAAATTCACGGAGTCGTTCTAAGTAAAGACGGGAGTAAGATTAGCTGGCTGCCTACTATCTCCAATGATTTTCCTGATTGCAGTAAACTGGATAATGAGACAGGCAGCGGCAGAAAACGAGTGAACAAGCATAAAATGGACCCTTACAGCAGCAACAACAACAAAGAACAATCAACCAGCATCAATGGAACAAATAAAAAATCCGAAAGAAGCAACCTTCTTCACCTAACTACCTACATACATACATATATACATACCTGGGAAGCATTGTTTCAGCTACAGGTGGACGGAAATGATGAGGATCTCATCAGAGCAGCGGGAATCGGTAAAGCGAGACAAGCTTTATTGAATTGAATTTCTGATTTTCCCGTCGATTGATTGGACCGAAGTGCTCGGTCTCAGGTTGACATGTCGGCTTCTTGTGCAGATGCTTCGACGATGCCTGGGTATTTAATTAGTATACAATTGGTGGATGGTGGATAGCAGTGGAATCCAGGATGCGCATTTCGTCCTATTTGGGACTCGTCACTGGCTGGATGTACCTGCATTTCTCAGTGAGTGATGATGTTCCCACCGAGGCTCGAACCCAGTACCCACAAGAGGTGGCTCTCGTGGCCCAAGTGGTCTAGTGGATAACGCCTTGGCGTTTGAAACTATGGGTACTGGGTTCGAGCCTCGGTGGGAACATCATCACTCACTGAGAAATGCAGGTACATCCAGCCAGTGACGAGTCCCAAATAGGACGAAATGCGCATCCTGGATTCCACTGCTAGCCACCATCCACCAATTGTATACCAAGACAAGCTTTCATTACTCTCAAGTCTGTGTGGAGGAGATCAACAACACTCAGCATGAAAATGAAAATTAGATGCAGATTTTCAACTCCAATGTGAAGTTAATCAATGCTATTCACTATACGGATCAGAGACTTGATGCTGCGCCGTGTCACGAAGGCCACTTCGAACAAACTACAGACCTTCTTCAACAGTTGTCTTCGCTCAATATATCGCTCAAGATCAGATGACCGGCCAGAAGAAAAATCAGCAACACGGATCTCTGGCAACGAACGAACCAACCAACCTAGCAGGGACCAATTGAGCAACAAATATACATGCAGGAAGAAATGGAGTTAAGTGGATTGACTGGCCATACTCTGAGAAAACCATCAAGTGATATCACAATACAGGCTGTCAAGTGGAACTCGAGTAGAAAGTGGCGGGTTAGTTGGTCGTCAGTGCTACGGTGACATGTAGGTAGGAGGTGATGTGAAGAGAAGATGAAAGCAGAGATGTGGGCATACATGGAGACAGGTGAAAACGTTGCCAGAGAACCGCGAACGTAATGAAGATGTGCGGCTAAAGTCCTATTTTCCTCTAGGAACTAAAGGAAACAATAATAATAGTAACATAATAATAATAATAATAATAATGCCTGAAACCTCTACTTGACTACTATCCAATCAATCTGGAAGAGGGAAAGCACTGCAATGCACAAAAGTAATAATGATAATACTACTACTAATAATAATAGTAGTAACATTTCCAGTTCATTTCAGTCTAAAATTCTCTCCTATTCAATAAAAACAATAATGATAAGAACGACTTGAAACACAAAGGAGACTATTATAGGAAATTAAAGCCTATTATCACAATATGAATTACTAGAAATCATTTTAGGCCAAAAAAATAAATAAAAAAAGTAAAAAAATGCAAAAAATTGCCTTGATTTCTCCGTCATTATTATCATTATTATTATTATTATTATTACTATTACTATTATTATTATTATCATTTTTCTCAGTCTTCCACGCTTCCCTCCTCCCTGTCTTTCACGCTCTAGCCTCCTTCTCTTCTGTTTCCCGTCTCCCTCTTCCTCTGCAAGACATCAGATATATAAACAGAAGGATTAATAGAGGCAAGCAAGTGCATTTCAGTATTTGTACCACTACTACTACTACTACTCTTATGATTCTTATTAGTAGTATCATTATTATCATCCTAATTTTATTGTTTATACGATAGCTTTTGTGTGTGTGTGTTTGTTTGTGTGTGTGTGGAACAGTAATGACGACCATAAGTTTATAGATCCATCGTTCCTCTATACTGTCTATTATTATTATTATCATCATCATTAATTTTATTATTGTTATTGCTATGCCTTCATCTATGCATACATACATATATAAGGCAGGCATCAGTACAATTCTTGCCTGCAGTGGTTGTTAATGTGTGCGTGTGTGTGTGTAAAGGGAACAGAACGAGTGAGAGAGCGAGCGAGCTAGCTAGCTAGCTAGCCAGAAGGCAAGAAAGACAGACTTAGATTGAATGAGGTAAAAACTGGGGAATTAGTACAAATAATGGTACGAATCATAATCATAATAATAAAGGATCGTGCTTATCCATTCTGATTAACTCTATGATATAATGGTAATAATGTAACAGAAGGA